AATAAACAGAAACTTCTATGAATCCCTCGCAGCACAGGTTTCTAAATCTAGCTCTGAAAACAACACTTGAAGAAACTGATAGGCACTTCTGGCTCACATGCTTTGCTTCTTAAATATGGATACAATTTTCTTAGACAAATGTAGCAGTTTTTGCCATTTGTTTGGTTTTTCCCTCCCACATTTATTGTTATTTCCTTCTAACTTCAGAAGTCAAGGTGTCTCAGAATTGACATCTTTCAGAGTTAGTTACAGCACAGATGAGGCATCTCAAAATTCTGGTAATTAAAGTAACAGTATCTACAAGTACTAAACCTCCTTCATGTTAAGTACCACATCTTAAATTACTACTCCTCTTTAAAATCAGGAGAAGCTCAGCATAAATTACAGTGTCACAAACATAGAACTCGACCTTGCTGGCTGAAATCAAGGGAACCTCCTGGTGCCCTGGCATTTCTCTTTTCAGGTCCATCTGTGAAAATGGCACTGTGCCACTGCTTACACGGTGAGGTGCAAGTTTCAACAGTGCACAGGAAGCAAACCCAGGGCAGGCAGCAGCCCCTCAGACCAGGAACTAGAGCTATGAACAGCTAGGAGAAATTACGCAATGGCTTTTTCTTTGCCAATTAATATTAAGTAGGTAGTATTATAAAAATAAATGGGTAATGTAGCAAGATGGTTGAGGGATTTGAGAGCAGATATATACATCTCTGTCTCTAGATTATGAGATCAAATCCTGTTCATATCAGTTACAGCCAAAAAAAAGTGAAAATTGTAAGACCTCAATCTTATTCTCAAATTTTCTATTTGATTTCATGCAAAACATCTACCTGTTTCTGGCCTCATGTCTTTGTTCTGCAGAACTAAAAGAATTCTACTTAGAAGTTTTGTAAAACACTTTAGATAAACAAAGATGAAATCATGGATATAGGCATGATCCACCATTTTTTTAAGTCAATGGGAAGCTTTTCAATGATTTAAATTATTTTGAATTAAGCCCTGGAGGAATAGTTATATTGTGCATGAAAACTACATTAGACAAAAATTATTTAGGCCAACATCTTTCAAATTGCTAAATACACGCTGAAGTTTACTTAGATTTGTGGAGTTGCACATCTACACAGAAATTTGCAGGATTATGGTTAGATAGACATCTTTCAAAGGGCAAGCCCGGAAGCTACGAAAGCCAAAGCTTAGTGAAAAGTATGTGTAGAAGTCCTCACTCTCACTATGCATTACTGCCTGCTAAAAATGTTTTTCACCAGTTAATGGGAAATGAGTAATTTTTCATAACTAAAGATTCCTTTCTGATGGAGAAATCCAAGGAAGAACACTGATCTCTGTTGCCTTGACAACATTTCCTGAAACACTCAAGTATTAAAGTATCCAGTATGCTCAAGAAAGTTGCAATATCTATTTCTCATTGGACGCTTACCACATTTATTGTGTTGCCATGCTCTTATCTGTCGTCTATGACTATTTGTCACAGAAAGTTACGTGCCAAGTATTACATCAGAAATATCTGAGCTGACTCAAATGCACATGTTATTTTTCTTGTGTATTTTCATGGCTATTGAAAGTTGTTAGATCTATGTCCTAGAGAAAAAAAAAAAAGCATTCTTCCATGATTTGTGGATATTAGCAAAATAATAATACCTCTTTCTAGTAATGCAGTTCTTAACTGAGCAGAGGGATCACCTCTACAGAGTGGCTGGAGGGAGTCAATCCTCTCAAGGCTTGAATCTAAAGGTTTGAGCCCAAACCTTGGCCTTTTTGACAGGCTTTGCTGAGGTGCTGACCAGGGGCACAGCACAGCTGCTCCTGAGATGAAGACTCTTAGGTCCACATCAGGAGTGTGTATCTCTCTTGCTGGCTGCTCATTGTAGGAGACTGAAAGCCTGATTTTTCAGAAGTGCTAAAGATATACTGAGGGACAAAATGAGCAGGAGATGCAAGTCTGAAGTGTTTCAAAAATCTCAACTTCTCTTTAAATTAAAAAGAAGTAGTATTTTACCAGTAAAATAGACAGCACCACCCTCTGTGAATCCATAGCTAAGTTTCATGCTTTCATTTTCCTTCAGTTTTTCTACAGGCTGTCTTAGATGTAATAAGAATAAGCAGAAAATAAAGCCGCACTACAAATGCTTGCTGCTAATCACTTCTGATCCATTAGAGGGAAGTTTGTACAATGTACCAGATATTTCCCTCCAATCTCTTCTAATCATTTCTTTGGATGAACTTGATGAGACAGTATACTCTGCTTCTGATATAATGAATTATTTTATTGACAAAATTGAATATACTGATCAATATATTTACTGCAGGACATTTACTACAACTATTTTTATTATGAAAGGCAAAATACAAAGTGTTTTAAGTTTTTTTCTTACTGCATGTTAGTAGGTATAACTTGGGCTGGGCAGTCATAACCTCTACATAGACAATTCCTATAAATGTACTACTTCACACCTAGAATGTGGTTTCCTTCCCAATAGGGAAACAGCAGGACGAGAGACAACCTGCATGATATAAATCACCAAAAATCCTCAAATTTGCCAAAGGAACATTGCCAAAGAAAACAAAGAGGGAAGACAGTAATCCTGTCTGGGATTCTCAGTCTTCATCTAAATTAAAACTTCGGGAGCACTGAAAGGCTGTGGGTGATTTCCTGTACAGGATAAGGAGATTGTTAATTGTCCTGCCTCAAACAGGACTGCAGCCCTCTCTGAACTGTGGCATCCTGTTCTGTGAACTATCTTCTGTGGCCCCGTGGCTGCTTCTGATCCCTCATCTCCATTATTACCAGAGGATTTATGTCATGCTCTGACCCCATCCTTTAGACTAACTTTTTTTGCCCAAAGGGGACACATGTGCTGACACAGGATTTTCTCATGCTAAGTTTTGATTTATTTTAGTCCTATTTAGAGGCATTAATCCTGCCCCTTTGGAACTGTGCATCTCTGATAGTCATGAGCCAAGAAACTAGCCTACAGTTCTGATAAACTCCTCTGATTATTGAATGTTAGCTGTCTTCTAAACTTTCAAGCACCACTTAAGGACATAAAGTATTTGGATGTCTCTCCTGCATCTGCATTCCCTAGTGATACCTGGAGAACACTAATCATGGACTATCCAGGCTGCTAATACATACTGTAATGCAGTTAAGCCAAAGTCTGAATAGCCTCCCTGAACACACAGCACTAATTCTTTTGGTGAAAATTTCTAAGGACTTGGCCAATCTACACGTTTCAGACAGCAGTCAGCTTTCAAGAGCTGCAAGGTCTTAGAGGAGTTTGGGCTTAGTTACATACTGAGAACCACTGCTGCCCTCTGCTGCAGTATTTTGGGTTATGTCTCTGATAATCGGTGAAAGCCACAAATATTCAAATAAAATTTCTAGTCTAAACAGAACCTATGTTTCCACCGGAAATAATGTTTCCATTATTGACAGGATCATTCAAAGGGTCTATTTCTAATTCATCAGCAAATTCTGATTCTGCAGGGACTATGTCAAATGGAAAAATCTTTATCTTTTTTTATCTGATTTTGACTCTTAGAACAGGGAGACACAAGAAGTTGGACATGTTTCATTGCTGCAGCAAAATGTTGTCTCATCTTCTGCTAATAAACAGTCATCAGAAGAGTAAGAACTATGGAGTGAGAAACTAAGATTGGGGCCAAAATGACTGCATCAAAGTTCTGCCCAGGACACAATATCTCTGAAAACCCGAACTTTAGCTTAGAGTATCATGGACAGCCAAGTTCTAGCTCAGTTGAACTAATCTTTCCTTTAATTCTTAATCTATCCAGTTCTGATGATCCCCTCAAAGATCTAGCTTTCTTCCTCACTGATGCTATGAAGAGTAACACCAGTGCAACCTTGCCATATTCACATCTACTACACAAAGGGCTCCAGATAGAAATAGCTTATTTTTTCCCAGCTTTCCACAGACTCCAATAATATTCTCTTTTATAATTTCCATCTCCATGCCTCTCAATAGGTTGCATTGCTTGTAGGTTAGAGCACCTATCTTAAAATAAAACACTTAAAATAATTTTAGAATTCTTTCTAAATTATTCTATGTTTCCCAGTCTCACAAATCCAATTACTTCTCTCTTGCAGTGCTTTCTGCACTGGAATGCAACTATGGTGTCACCAATACATAACACTAAATTGCAAAATCATCAGCAGACAGGAATAAATAAACAGATGGTAGCAGACCAGAAGAAGAAAGCCAGAAACATGTCTTCCTACTCAAGAGAAAACTCAGGCTGTTCTCAATAATTATCTGTATGGGTCTCCAAAGGGATTGGATACACATTGCAAAGAAGGCAGACTAAGACTCTGGCTACTGAAAGAACTGTACTTCCTTCTAGTATCATCATCATGGCTGGGCTTCGTGAACGAAGATTTGGGAAAGGTCTCTACCCACGTTTGTCACACGCAGTGACAAATGCACCAGGTGTCCACACATGTTCTGAGTATCTCATTGGTGGCCAGTTAACATTTAGGACTCCAAATAAGAGTCAACAAAAGAAGTGGTTCAGGTGGCTTCTGCCTTCTCATTTCTGAACATATAATTTACCTCTCCAGCACATTTCTCCCTCTCACCTTCTCTTCATCATTCAGATCATGTGTAAACTTCATGTTGCAAGCTTCAGGTTACTTATGGTTGCCAAATACGTTTCCAGTTCTCAAATTATTCCTATAAATATATCATATCTGACACAGAATAAAGCAGTGCAATTTGATCTGCAGACTTTGCAGATCACCATGAAAATAAAAAATTAGAAACCAAAGATCCACAGAAACTAGTGCAAGTAATTCTATATCACATACTTTTCCTGATGACTGCAAAACTAAACCACTCTCAAAATAAGCAACTTTGCTCTAAAATCAGCTGAAAAACCTTTCCTATGAGAATTTTTGTATTCTCTGCAGTTGCATGAGGACATAATGGGACATGGCCCAATTCTTAGACTCTAGTTTACAAAACACCTACCTCTAGGACTTTCCCAGTAATGAACTGGTGACATGCTTCACACTTGACTCCAAAAAGCACTTGGTAGTCCTTTTCACAATAAGGAGCACCATCTCTGAAAAAGAAAATCCACAAATTACAAACAACCTTTTAATAAACTGCTTACAGGGTAACTTACACTCTTCCTTTGTCTTCAGTCTGGAACTCCTACACACAGCAACAGGCAAATGGAGAGAGTTCAAGAGAAACAGTTTGTATTAGAAGAAAAAAAAAAATCTTTCTCACTAGTGTCTCTTAGAATTATTCCTTAAATTCCCATCAAGAAAAGACATCCAGTACAAACCACTAAAATAAATCTCATTATTTAGAGCAGACCCTCTACACCTACAGGTGCAATTATAGGGAATCAGTGGGACTATGTCTGTGGGGATGAGAGGAGATCACAGTCTTTATCATAGGCAGGTAGTTTTTGTTCAGAAAAAAAATAATCTTTGGTAGTTTGCAAGGCTATAAGCCTGCTTTTAAGTGTAAGGTCATGTAGTTTTTTAGTATGAACATGGAACATTAAGTAAAAGTGGAAACACTAGTCAGCCTAGGAGTATTTCTCAGATGCCAAATTTTTTTTTGAGAAATTACAAACACTACTTTTTATTAAATAGTATACACAGCTGAATGGCAGGTTTGTCAAACATATATTGTTTTCTTATTTCTTCTCTTGTTATATGCTTGAAGGGGGGGAAAGAGACTGTATCTTCATTCCCTCTATTTTATTATTATACCACTTTTCCCCACTCTCTTTCTCTGTACTTTCTTCTGCTCAAAACCCCTTTCATTAGTTTCTTATATGGAGACGAGAAATACAGTGTCAGGTCAATCACACCATCAAGGTTACTCTATTTTCTAGCAAAGGTAAGAAGTGGACAGGTTCCTACTTTTTTTCCTCAAAATCACATGTTGAAAAGCAAAATGGCACAACACTTTATCTGGTGAATACAGAAAACATATGCAGCAATCCACCTAATCCTCTGCAGGAACATGGAGATATACCTCCTTTCATACCGGTTTAAAATACAGACTGCTATTATTCAGCATCACCTTTCAGTTCCACTTGGTAGTTTACTTTCCCAACTCAGCTCTCACTGAAAACAAAGATTTTGATGCATATGGAAAGAAGGTCAAAACAGGATTCCAAAAGCTGAACTTTGTTGCAAGCTCTTCTTTGTTTGCAGCTCGTGCCACAAGTTCAGAAGAGGTGCAGAGGTTACTCACTTGCTGATGTATTCCCCGGTTAGGACCTTCCCACAGGCCTTGCACTTAAAGCACCCCAGGTGCCACTGCTTATCCAGAGCTAGCAATGCTTGCCCATTTTTTATGTCTCTTCCACAGCCAGCACAATCTGTAAATAAACAAACAGATGCATTTGTTGTCAGCTACTTGGTTCATTAACCCTCATTAACCACCCACCCAGCACAACACTTGGTAACCAAAGGGGAGAACTACACAGCAAACGTACATCTTTCTTTCCTCAAACTCTTCCTAGGTTCTGTATAAAGATTCAGTCATACTCAGTAGAAGAGGGAAAGTATCTCTTCTGTCTTTCATGCTGTTTATGGTTCAAAGACTGCCTGGCAAGCACTGTACGGACTTTAGATTTTGTTAGGAACAAACTACAAAAATCATTACTGCAAAAAATTCCTATCTTCTAAAGCAATCTGTTTGTCATTTTGCTTTTACCAAGATCCTGACTGCTGAATGGGGGCCGAGCAAGTACCACCAGGATGCTGCATGTCCCCGTGTGGTGGCAGCAGAGCCCCGCGTGTCCGCCCAGCTCAGGGGCGGTGGCACATCTCAGCCAGGAACAGAGGAGAGACCTTTTTCCAGGGAGGACCCAAGGCACGGGTGACAGCCATATGACAGCAGTGAAGGCTGCATGGAAGGGCATATTGTCTTCCACCTGCAGGTGTGGGTAACTGAAGTTCTCATGATCTCTAATAGGCATAAGGACTCTTGTTCAGGAATTTTGGTACTACCCCGGTAGTCAACACTCAGTTTTCACTGCGATTCTGAAGGACTCTGATGGTAGAATGCAAACCTGAAGCCAGGAGCACTGAATGCCCTCTGTCCCAGAGGATGTCACAATATCTCATGTTACATGAGAAATCTCTGGCTCAGCCCCAAGCTTCCATTCCTTTCTACTCAAATGTAAAATACTCAGAGATTTCCTGTTAAGCGGCAATCCAGCACATGGTAAGATTGGAAGAGACTGATGTAGCAGACAGCACTGAACTGCAAGGGTTGTGCTACAGCTTCTGTGCCCAGCCTCAGGGGACAGAGGGACTGAGGGAGGGGAAGGCCTGGAAGCCCAGTGAAGCAGAAAGGGAATGCCCATCAGCTGAGGCACACATGGAAGCCACACAGGAGACAGCCTGGAACAAGGGATTTTCCATATTTTATTATCCCTAAAGTCAGTGTTCCTTTGGTTAATCTAAGGTTAATTCTGCATGCCTGAAATATCAACAAATGGCAACGAATGGAGACAAATAGAACAGAACCTTTAAAGCCCAGGCAGGAGGGAAAAGATCATCCTGACTCCACTGGCTCAAGCTGACTGAACAGGTACAGCCTGAAAACCTTCATCTCCTCATGGATTTATGGCCCAGGCAACTCCATGCCTTGAAAAAGGGCAAGTCTAAGTTTTTTTTTTTTATTATCACAACTTGTAAAGAGAGGAGAGTCAGTCCTTTTGACTACAGGGCCTGACTTTTGTTTGTTGGATAATGGGCCAAGAGAGCCCCAAATATTTGCTGCACATTCCTGCTATCCAGGTCATCATTTGCAGCATGTCCCTCTTTCTATCAGCATTTTTTTTCTTCTCAAATCCCTTAAAAAAAGAAGGGAAGGGGACTAAGCACCGTGGTATCTCGTGATAAAATGCAAGTCACAGACTTGTTGACATGACTTGGACTTGAAAAGCAACCCTGAGAGGTCCTAATACCAGGACTTTTCTCTAGAGGACATATGTTACAAATTGAAATCATGAAATGACAAGGAGTGACACCATGTAATGGATCCCTCTGCTCTGCCGTGACAGCTCAAGGCTCCATGCCATCCTGTAATGACAGCAAAGGCTGGAACAGGTCACTAAGGGAGGCTCTGGAATTTCCAGCATAGGGGTGAGGAAGGGACAAACACGTGTCAGGGTGGCTTTGGTACACTGCTCTTGGCTTTGGTTTTGGGAGGATACTACATGACCTCTCAAGGTCCATTCCAGCCCACATTTTCTTATGCTAAATCTAAAGCATGCACCGTGTCTTCAACTGTGACAACAAATGAGATCTTTTCTCAGTCTCAGGGGGTGCTGAACTGCAGTTTTAAAAACAGCACCCATTTCTCAGCTTCCAAGCACTAGTGCTTTTTCCTAGTATGCCAGCTTCCACAGCCCTGACCTGGGGTCCTGCCAAACTGTGATACACTCCCTGTTACATATTCCCTCAAAAAATCTGCTGTATTGTCCATGCTTTTTTTCATTTTTATCCAAAAAGCTTCCGTGAAGCTGAAATTTCTCAGAAATGGAATCAATAAAGAGATTTTTAAAGCACTTCATTTTGTTTCTAACTGAATTTCTGAGGCAGTGAGAATAGAAAAACTGCCTTACGCAAAAGGTCTACCTAGTCCAGTATCTTGATCTTTAGTGATGCCAAAACCATTTACATGGAGGAAGTAGGGACCTATGAAGTACCTTTGCTTAATTGCTTCTTTGTAAGCCAAAGGCACAGTAAGTCTGAGCACCAGACTTAATCTTGTGCTCATGTTTAATACAAGGGTTTGGTAACATCCTTTTATTATTCTTTAGCAACAATGACATCTACTTACTCTTTCTGGGTTCCTTGAAGTGTTTTGCAAAAGAAAATTAACATAATTTCCATTCTGCTAATATGACAGACACATTGAATGTCTAGAATCAAAGTAAACTAATAGCCCATTTCTGTCGTATTAGGCTGAGATGGCTTTTAAATAAACCTGATCTTAATTCTGGCAAAACTGTTGGGTATATACATGAAAAGCTAGCAATTATCATTATCTCCTAAAATAGAAAGGAAATAGGGCTGGGCTGGGCTAAGAAAAGACCATTTGTTCATCCAAATTCTACAAATAAATGCTATTATGATCTCAGGCCTGCATGAGGCACATTTAAGCCTTTGGCTGGATGTCATCAGCACACAGTGCATGCAGGCAGGATCTCAGTATCACATTCAGCACAATCTGCATCAGTCTAACCTATAACCAGCACATGCTGCAAATAAAAAGGCCATGAGGTAAAAATAGTGGTCCCCAACCATATGCCAGAGCAGACTAAAAAAATCTGAAAACCCGTCCTGAAATTTTGTACAATGGTTCCCACCATGGTTCTCTCTGGTGCCATAACTGGGTCTAACAGACTGCACCCCTTGACCCTGAGCTTTCTTATGTTTTCTTTTTGCCATATAAACTGGATTCTTCCCTACTCCCATTCCCTGCAAATCCCTGTATTCAGCTGTGCCGAGATAACGAAGAGGAGGAGGTGGAAAGTGCAGAGTACTGGTTAAAATGCAGAGTGAGCAGCACAGCTCCTCTATGCACTTATATCTCTGTCATATTTGATGTGTCCAGGTACAAAAGCAAATGCCTGGACAAAATGGCTGTGGTGTGGAATCAGCCAGCCCAAAAGCATGGAAAAGTAGGGGGACCGGGTACGGCACTATAATATGATGAATGATTAAGATTGCCACCCTCCAAGCACCTTAAGTGGCCTCACTAAAAAGATGCAGGCCAGGGCGAGCTGCCACCCATGACACCTTGTTTGTAAAGATATGAGAAAATGGGTTTCCCTTTTTAGCATCTGCATCACCCCAGACATCCAGGAGTGAAGCATCCTGCACAGCAACCCATTCGTCACTGTCTAAATTAAGCAGTGGATTGTCTGCCTTTGCCTCCCTCCCCTGCTCTCAGCCAATAGTGCACAGGTGGGCTCAGAGCTGACACAGCTGGATTAACCCTCAGCACACAGCATAGGGTTTTACCCGCTCCCATTTGGATAGTTTTTCAAAATTTAATAGCAAATGTATCTTTATCCCATATTCTCTGCTCACCCCATATAATTTATGAAAGAGAAATCACCTCTACCTGTTTTGTCCTAACGAACATGGTTATGCAAAGTCACGTGAATGATTTCACCAACTCTGCTCCACGCAGGCTTAGCCCTGTGAACAGAGCTAATAGCAGTCTGACTTAATGATGAATAATTGAGTCACCAAAAAGTTCCTTGCAATCCTCATGACCATTAGTAGCACATGTCTAGATAAAGGTTGAAGCTGCCACAACCCCTACGAGTCACTGGTATTTTGTACTCATTACACTCCTTTTGTAACTATTTCCCCTCCCTATAAAACACAAATACATTAATTTTATAAAGATAACACCACTAGGCTTCTGCTCTGAAACAGGTAAAGCAGGGCAGAATTGGGGGGGATTTTTATTATTATTTTAATTTTTAAAAGGAACGACAAGTTTTCATTAGAGTTATACATAAGTACATTGCCAAACCTGGCTGGACCTAGAGCAAGTGATTTGGAAATGATGAAAGAGGCAAATATTATCACTGGAGTCAAGGTCAAGAAATCTCTAATTATAAATAGCTCCTAATCACCTTGAAAAACAACTTATATCCCAGTAATTCTTCTGTGGCAATTTGAAGGTTGTGCAATTATAATTTCTCACAGCGGTAGGAAGACCAGAGTTTTTCCTCAGTCACCCTTTAACCACAGATCAGGCAATGCCTTCTAAAGCCTTGTTTTAAAATTAAAAGGTTTGATGATATCATGCAGGCTTTTCCAGATCATCAAGATATTTCTGTCAAAGCTAAAAATACAAACTCACTACGTTTACAGTATGATAAATGTTTTCAAAGTTTAAAGCATAACCATTTAGACATCAGGACAGTGATGAGTTCTGGAAATCAGAGAAGGACACACATATATTGGGAATTTTACATGCAGGATTTAAATCTGAGTATGTAACTCAATAAATCTGCTGCCAACCCCCTCCTCTTTGCCAGTGCAAGGATGGGAAATGTTTTTCAGACAAATTCACTACAACCCTTTTGCTGAAGGCAAAACAAACCCATGCGAGCAGCCTTGTACTCATGAAATCTAACAATAAGAGGCTGGGTGCATACAATGGAGGGAAATAAATTTCCCATGGGAAATGGAGTATAGCTTTGACAGTTTATTATAAATGGCAAGTTGGGAAAAACTGATATTTTTAAAACAAATTGTTAAAGAAAATAAAATTATTTTAGTTGATTAAATATGGAAAGAAATCACAATGGCATGAACTGGCAACCTGTGCTTGCAATAC